GCAGAAATAATTTATTAAAGTGAACATATAATCTATATAGATAGAACAGAAAATATATATATATATATATATATATATATATATATATATATATAATCAAGAAAGAGTGAGATGATAAGCAGTGACAACATTGAACAGAGAACAAGAAGAATCTAACCAAACAAAAATGAGTAAATTTTGCAAAGCTACTTGAAAGTTAATCCAATTTTTACAATCCTCATTTTTCATGTAAAATATTTGATTATACACTATTTAAAGAAGGTTAAGAAACTGGATATGTAATTCACAGACTTACGGTACAATCATAAATCAGTCACCATATCCTTCAGTGGAATAAAACTAGTCTAGATATACACTCTCTTCCTCTTCCCCATATAAAAATGTAATTAAATTACCAAATAAAAATTTAGCTATTATGGAATTGAGCTGACCTTTTTTTAATTTATTCTTTTCTTCAATGCAAAGAATTAAAAAATATATACTTCTTTTAGGAAGAAACAATAAAAGTATATGTTATTTTATGGAAACAAGTTGAAAAAGAACTATGTTGAGGGAGAAGTATGGCAATGCAAGAAAAGAATTAAAACATATGCTATTTTAGTGGTAATTTGATGACAGTTGAAGTGATTGAACTGAATGACATATTGCTTCGTCTATTAGTGAATAAAATAATTAAATAATACAATTTTTAAAGATATAGTAATCAACTAAACTTCAGCAGTCAGCTTATTTTGAGAAAGGTTAAGTTTTCATTCAAAAAGAGGAGGGGAATACCATAAGAGGATGTACTAATCTGAGCCTTACAAAAAACTAAAAAGGCTCAGAAGATAGGTAAACTAATTGCATTATACAAATTGTTCCTCTCGGAACCTGATTTAGTTAACTGATCAGCCACATGATTAAAATCTCTTGGGATCCACCTGAAGCTACAGCTAAGAATCTCTTAAAGCTCAAAGATTTCAAGAAGGAAATGTGCTAGCCTCCAAGGACCTGGTACTGTCTTGTTTACCCACCAATTGCATTTCTGGAATCACCTTCCAATGAAAAAAGGGCTGCTTGAATTTCATTAGTGCATTTGAGGCCAGCAAGCAAAGCTTTGCCTTCAGCTTCAGAAGCATCCATAGCAGTTATCAAACACCTAAGGAGTTTGAGCCATAAGCCATTCAGTTTAGTCATTTCAGCTCTTATCAAACACCTAAGTAAAAGCTTAATCAAATTGTAACACTCAAAGTTTTTTTATGTTTATGGTACAAAGCATCAGTTTAGCTCTTCAAAGTAATAAAATTAGCAACTCTTGAAAGTATAGTAATGCAAGATGCAGAAACACATCTTTCCTTTCTTTTCCTGGAGAGAGAGAGAAATAAATAAAGTAGGAGGGCAAGGAAGATGAGGAACCTGTTCAATAAATGTTTATGTTGGAGATGTGGGCAATCTTGTGCCAATCCCTCCCTTGGTCCTTTCGGCATGATTCCTCTAGAAGGGGACAGTGATAAATTTCCAGCTTCTGAAGAGTGGGGGGAAGTCCCTCCTCTGGTAAAGATTTGAGCCTAGGAGCATCATTGATTTCCAATGATACAAGAGCATTGAGCTGCTGGAACCAACTGGGTGGTAGACACTCAAGTCTCTCGAAATTGTAGAGTCTCAGTCTTGTAAGAGAGGTGGGCAATAACCATTCATCTCGTGGAAAGGACATGAGTCCAGAACATTGTTTCATAGTCAACTCTTCAAGGGAAGTAAGTTTATGCAGCCCAATGCACTTTGGTAGGATTTCCTCATTCTTCTCACCACATCCACTAATCTTAAGTCTCCTTAGGTTGGTGGGAAGCCCACCTTGGGGAAAGAACATTATGCAAGGACAACTTTGGATGCTTAACTTTTCAAGGCATGTGAGACTGTGCATCTGCTCCGGCAAGGACTCCATTTTCTCGCATCTTTTAATCTTAAACTTTTGTAGGTTGGTGGGTAACCCCATTTCCGGAAAAGATTCAAGCTTTGGAGCATCATCAATCTTCAAATATATAAGAAAATTAAGGTTATGAAGCTGAGGCAAGATCTCAAGATTATGACACCCACAAATTTCCAAATGCCGGAGAATTTGAAGGTGTTGTGATCCCCCAACCTTGTTCCCAAGGGCTACGAGATTCACACTAGAACAAATCTTTAATTCTTCGAGTGCTGTTAGGGGTTTCAGGAATTCCTCTGGTATGCATATGAGTTTTGAATTAACATGTATTCGAATCAAAGATGGAAGCCTTGGAAGATTAGCCAATTCATTGCAATTTGTTATTTCTAAATATACCAAGGAAGGAAAGAGTGGAGGCAATGACCTCAGCTTTGAACAAAACTGTATGCTAAGATCTCGTAAGCAAGGAAATTCTATGCGTTCCACCAGTGATGATGATGATGATGATGATTCTTTTCTTAAGTCACCATCACTCCAACCAGTGTAAGAGGGGATTTGAAGCTTTGTAATAGCCGTCAATACATCACAAAGATATATGTTTAACTTTTTTAGGGCCGGAAACCTATTGAAATGGAGTCCCTTGAGCTTGGGACAAATTTTGATTTCAAGCCTAGAGAGGCAGGGGAATAAGTCTTCACTTTTCTCTTGGTCTATATTTACTACTCCACAAGACCATTCTTCCCAGGCAGGCATGTCATTGAAAATTAGTGTCTTCAATGAAGGAAATATAGTGGCATTTCTACCCCCATAAAATTCACACCCTATATGCTTTATGCTATCCATGTGCTCAATTTTAAGGTACTTCAACAAAGGCAGCTCTCCAAGAGGAGGAAGCGTCTGCGTCCTGCTACAATTGGAAAATTCAACTTGTAATAGATTAGAGACCTGTGCCATCCAATTAGGGAATCTTAAACTGTGGTACCCTTGGATCCTAAGCCCTTTTAGGTTCACATAAGGTTGAAGGGACTCAATTATTTCTTCTATTGCAGCCCTTTCTTTTCTTCCTGCACAATGCCATTCCAACAGTAAGTCGTGAATGTTTTTCTTGTCTTCTAAGTTGCCGTCCTTAGCATCTATTACATTGACCATATTCTGTAAGCTTGAAATGTAAAGGTTTCCATCAAAGTAATTTAAATTCTTCAAATTTCCTGGACTAGACCCCCTGTTTCGCCACAAACCTTGCGCTTGAAGACTAATCTTCTTTCTAATTCCATGTCCAGTTTTTCCTTTATAGGTCATCCTGATAAGTCGAAGGCTGATTAGGTTGCTTAAATTTTTTGGTAGCTTATGAAGAACCACACCATCAAGTATCAATGCTTGTAAATGGTAGAGGGTACAAATTGATTTTGGTAGCCTTTCAATCCCTGTGTAGGAGAGGTCAAGGAAACGTAGGAGTTTCAAGTTACCAATTGAATTTGGTAGCACACAGATGGGGAAGCTATGCAAGCACAAAACACGTAAGCATCCTAGTGCAAGAAATAGATTATGAAGTTGTTGCCAACGTTGAGTGGAGAGGCTCAACTGCTGAAAGGAGTGTCTATATGCATCTTTACTTGTATCTGGCAGTAGAAATGTGTGTAGACTCTTAGCATTATACAAGGCATCAAGTTTTACTGGTTCATAAGATACAGGAAGGAATGACAAATGACGGGCCTTCTTAGGAACATTTTTGATTTCATCATCAAATTCTGTTCTAAAACATATATCCTTTGAGATGGAATTGGCTAAATCATGAATGAGATCATGCATCACAAATGTTGATTTATCGCAGTTATCATATTGGAAAAATGACCTCAGAAACAGATCATCAAAATACTTGCCACCAATATCTTCCAGTTGTTTCCCTCTTGCAGAATGTATAAAGCCTTCTGCCATCCACAACCAGACCAATCTCTCCTTCCTAAACCTATAGTCTTTAGGAAAGATGGAACAATAAGCAAAACACCGCTTAAGATGTGCTGGGAGATGTTGATAACTCAATCTTAAAGCTAGTAAAATACCATTTTCATTTCCCAATTCCAATATTTCACTTGTCAAGATATACCTCCACTCATCTTCATTAACTTTTGAGCGTAAATGGCCTCCAAGTGTCTTTGCTGCAAGAGGCACACCTTTACATTTCTTAACAATCTCCTTACCAATTGCTTCCAAATTTGGATGTGAATTCAAATCTGTATCATCAACAAATGCACATTGCTTAAACAATGACCAACAATCTTCATTGGCCAAGGCATCGAGATGGTGAGCAGGCACGGTACCCATGATTGATGAAACTATCTCACTTCTTGTTGTCACTATAATCTTACTTCCTTGTTTTCCAACCATGAAAGGAATCCGTAAGACATCCCAATCATTCTGATTCTCATTCCAAATGTCGTCTAAAACCAGTAAAAATCTCCTCCCTTTCAAAGTTCTCTTAAGTTTTACCTGGAGAGGATCTAGGTCCATAAGACTACAAACTTCCTCTGTGGCTGACTCAAGAATAGCTTTCGTTATCCTCCTATTGTCAACTTCTTCAGATACACAAACCCACGCAGTAAGATCAAAATGGTCATGTACCCTCTCATCATTGTAAACGAGCTGAGCCAGAGTAGTCTTACCCAGCCCAACCATGCCAACGATGGGAAGTACCCCAACCGCATTTCCTGTATGAGGTTCAGAATCATCAGAGAGAAGCAGTTCAATTATCATTTTCTTATCACTTTCCCGTCCATAAACACAAGTTTCATCAACCAGAGAACTAGTTTGAGGTCTTTCTCTAATTTCAAAGCTCGAACTCCCTCCAAAGCCCTCCCTCAAACCCAGTTGATCCTTTCTTCTAGCAAGGTCTGCTAGCCTTTCATTGATTTCCCTTATCCCAAATGCTATTCTACGTTTCAGTGTAATTGGATTGAAAAAAGAAGGGATGAAGCGGCGGCGCACCTGGTCTGATTTCAATTTCAATCGCTCAACATGGATTGCATACTCGTCCAATATGTCTTCGGCATCATAAGCCAGATGGTTGAGTTCATCTAGCCAAATCTTCACAGCCTCCTCCTTCGTCTGTCTTTGGCCGGCATTGTTGAGCACGGCTTGAATCATTCGCAGTGTGGTTTGAAGCTTTGCTAGATCGTTCTCAATACCCCATAAAGATCCAAATTCTGTGATGATTGGGCTGGCCAACTTGTCGAACAACACCTTAAGAGAAGCAGATACTATTGCTTCTCCCACAATAGCCATGATCCTTTTTCTTCTTAGTGGGCAAGCGAGTCAACGGCTCAATGGTTATAATTTGGGACTACTAGATCTCCAACTCCCACACCCACAACCATGAGCTTGTTTCTGATAGAAGGCCACAAGGGTAGAGAGTTAACGGGAAGCAGGTCAACGGTGGCATTTGATCTCAAAAATTGAAAAGATATTAAAAGCATACGAAATCTAAAAAGTGAGGTAAATGTTTTTTCACTTTTTAGAGATTTTGTGTTGGATTGAATATAATATTCCGGATCTAAATTTCTTGATTTGAGTATACTACCCTTAAGGCCCTAAAACAGATTATTTGATAATTTTATGTTCGATTTATATTATTTTATATAAAATATTTTATTAAATTTAAAATAATATTTATTAAAATAATTAATAAAGGTTCAATTATGATATGGAAAAGATATGATATCCGAAAAACTTCCGTAGAATCATAAATGTGGTAGCTAATTAGGTGTTATTTATCAAAATTCATGCGTGATTTTTGATTGATCAAAACTCTTTTCATACCATATCTTTTCCAAATCATTGATTTTCCTAATTAATAATTAACACTAATTAAATAAAATAATTAACAACTAATAAAAATTTTAAAATAAATAACACTTATTAATATTTTTCCAACTTCAAACATTAGACTATGAACTGCAGTGCTTATTGGAAGCTTCAATGGAGAACATCGTGATCTCTATCCACAACCTCAAATTTTTTATCCACACCCAAGTCCTTTTTGTTATATTCAAATGGACTTTTCACTAGTAAGTCAAGCCAAATCAATTTGCCTTTTCGCTAGTAACGACCTAAAAAAAATACTATGTCAGGCATATGTGAAATGGCCTTTCAAACAGGGACTCCTTCGTGTTTGTCTACCTTAAACTTGGCAAACAACTGAGAGTTGGTGCGTTTGGAGATGTTAGCAGATGGTTTATATTCTGTTTTGTCTGAAATGAGCAGGTGCTTAGAGGAAGGGGCCAAGGAATTTATGGTGAAGTCAATACGTCTAAGTGGTGGGTGCAAAGTGCAGTTGCTGAGTTGTCCAAGAGCTCATTGTTGGGATCTTAAAAAATGCACTCAACAAGAGATTTGCTACATTCTGTAATTTCAAAGAGAAATCTTTAACAAAAAGATTTTTGTTATTTTTTTATATTTATTTAATGGTCTATTTTTTTTATATATTTGTTTAATGGTGGGAGCAGCTGGAATACCATTTGGTAGCAAGAAAATGTTGTATTTGCATTGATGGTGACGCAGCGTGGAAGCAATAAATCGGGCTGGCTATGCAAGTACCGGGCGAACCAAGTTTCTAGCGACACAAGAAAGAGAGAAAATCTCTATAGGAGAGAGAAAAGGTGGAGAGAATTGAATAGAAAATTTGAAGTGTGTATTAACTGAAAACAATAGCAGTATTTATAGTACATCTGGAAATTATAGAATAAATAGGAAAGAACAACTAAGATAGATATCAAAACATCTAATCTGGATAGGATCGAATTCTTCTTGATCTTGGTCTTGATAGGATCGAACTCTTTGGCTTGATATTCACCGTCTGATCTTCTTGGATGAATCTTGGAAGCCTTRGATTATCTTGATCTCTGGAATTCTTGATTATCTTGAATTCTTGAATTCTTGATGGATCTTGAATTCTTGAGTTGCCTTGGATCTTGGACTTCTTGAGTTATCTCTTTCTTGGATTATCCTTGGAATTATCCTTATCCTAGGAGCTACCGCCCCCAAGGTGATGTGGGCCTTGGGATGGGCCTCCATCATTCTCCCCCACTTGGAAAGAACTCGACCCCGAGTCGTAACTAGGATATGCAATTGTCATCTCTAGCAGGTAGCGATAGATGTCAGCAACATTGAAGGTCTTAGAGATACCCATATGATCTGGTAGGTCCATGACATAGGCATTGTCGTTGATTTTCTTCATGATCTTGTATGGGTCGTACTTCCGAGGCTGCAACTTGTTGTATTTTCCTATGGGGATCCGTTCCTTCCTCAACATCAATGGCCTTAGGACAGCCTTAATCAATTTCAGTCCTCTTTCATCTCCAGATTCATAAGGCTCTGAATTAACTTGTGACACCATCCCCAGTTGCACCATGGCTCAACATGTAGGAAGCGTAAAAGGCTGTAGAGGTCCTCCAAGTTACTCTGCAAGAGAGTACCCGTAAGGCACCAGCTGCAATGTGCATTCAGTTCAAAGGCTGCCAGAGCACCTAGTGTCCTTGAGGATTTGATAGTATGTGCCTCATCAAGCACTACCCTGAACCACTGTACTTTGTGAAAAATGCTTTCATTTGAATCATTTTTGTAAGTGGTCGTTAAGACTCCATACGTCGTTAAGACCACATCATATCCTGAAAGCACTTTTGGGTCATTGGTCCTATCCCCACCATAGTGCACAAAAATTGAAAGAGATTCTGGCTCTGAATGGGTTTCAATTTCACCCTTCCATTGGCCTAACAAAGCCATAGGACAAATGATAAGGGTGTCAGCCGTCACTGTTGCTGGGGCTTTTGTTTTAAACGCTTCTGTTTGTTTTCTCATAATTTGTTGCAGCATCCGTGATCATGAAATCTTCTTCATCATCAGGTTTTCCTCTGCCTCGATTTGCAAGCATTAAAGCAATTGTTGTCACCGTTTTTCCAAGTCCCATAGCATCTGCTCTAGCTATTTCGGTTGCACTGGGAAATTGTGTAGTAGCTTCCCCTGAGAAATTGTTAACATAGATTGCAGACTCTCTCTTATCACATATACGGTAGGCTGACCAACATGGATGAAATGTTTTGGCCGCTTGCTTAACATCAATTCCCTTATTCGATTCTGTCATCCAATAAAGAGCTTGTTTTTTATATGGCCTTAGATCACACATGAGTGTTTTTGGAGGATCCATTTCCTCTAAATTGTATGTATCTGTATTACCGACAAGCTTATTTAGAGCTGACTCTGAGATAACTTGTTCATTGTTACTTTGTTCAGGATGTTGGCCCTCCTTTCTTCGTTTCAAAAGAGGCAAGAGTGCTGCAGTGTCGTCTGAATCACCTTCTAGGTTTAAGGAACGTTTTCGATTGTCAAGATCCTCCGGGGTAAATTCTACCTTCTGATATGGCTTAATTTTCAGCAATTTAAAAAGAGCCGGAAGAGGATAAAGAGTAGAATCGAAGTATGAAGGAACTTCTAACTTCCATGAAGACTTATCACCCTCAGTAAAAATAGAACTATGAATGTAAAAGCTTACATACAGTACGATTGCTTGCATCAAACTAAGCTTTTCACAAACCTTAACCTTTGAGGAATTTACAAGGGGAATTACGATTCTAGCCCAATCCGTTGGCAACCTTCCTGTCGCAGCGTACAAAATTACGGTTCTAGCCCCAAAATCAATGTGATGCTGTATATTTCGCATGGGTGGGAGTTCATCATGGAACTCATCAAGATTACATTCAGTATGATGATGTGTAGAGTAGTAAGGAATTTTTTTTCATTTGCTTTTGGAGCCTTAGGAATACTCTTTTCAGCCATGGGTAACAAGGTGTAGCGTATACCATCTTTTTCAAGTTGGTAGGTATTCTTCCTACCCTTCCTACCCGTGTGCCTTGCATCTGTATCAAATTGCCAAGGTCTATCCAACAAAATATGGCAAGCATCCATGTCTACAATATCACAATATACTTCATCATTATACTTACAATAGAAAATGGTACCTTGCAACGTTCCTCCACTCGTACGCCACCTCCTTCCTTAATCCACCCAATTGTGTATGGGTTTAGATGTTTTCAGGAAGTAATTGTAACATTTGTATGACATCATTGCAAATAATATTTTTTTGACTACCACTATCAATAATTAAATCAAATAATTTACCCTTGACAGTACATCTAGTACGGAACAATCTGTGCCTTTGAGAGGTATCTTGATTTTTCCGGGACAGCATTAATTTTCCCACAACACAAGTATACTCTTCATGTTCGTATGGACCCTCTTCATCTTCCCCATCAGGCCCACAGTATATTTCCTCCTCCACATCTTCTTCCTCCTCCATTTCTACCATATTAATTGCCTTCCTCCTGGGACAGTCACTGGACCTATGTCCAACCTCATTACATTTAAAGCATTTAATAGGAGCAGGCTTTGCATAGGGATTACTGGGTTTAGGAGGGTTGGAAGGGTTACCTCGAGTATGTCCTCCTGTAATAACCTTACCGGCGTTAACTGTACTTGCCGGGTGAGAAGGTTGTACTGTCGGGGCTGATTTGTTCCTGTCGACAGTTGCCGGTTTGTTGTTGCTCCCGCTGTACCGGCGATAATTATCACTATGTGCCTTGTCTTGGAACATCAATTCTACTTTCAAGGCTAGGTTCCTTGCTTCCTGCACATTGAGAACCATCTGTACACCAATTTTATCTCTGATGGACGGTCTCAAACCGCTCAGATAGCGGGCTGCCTGCTAGTTATCACTTTTAGATAATTGATTTCTTTCAGCTAATATCAAAAATTCAAATGTATATTCATTAACACTACGGGAACCCTACACACACCGTTGGTAAGATTCAAACATGTACTGTTCATAATCTGGGGGTAAAAATCTACCTCTGATTAATTGTTTCATGCGCCTCCAGGTTCGAACAGGATCCCTTCCTTCTCTGATCCGGGTCTCTCTCATGCATTCCCACCAAACAGATGTGCCTCCCTTTAATCGAAAAGCTACCAATTTGACCCTTCGTTCCTCTGGTATCTCCATGTACTCAAAGAAATGATCGACTTCTGTGATCCAGTCTAGAAGTCCCTCTATGCCAAGATCTCCACTAAAAGTAGGAATGTCTACCTTGAGTTTAAATTCATCATTATTCCTATGGGGATTGAAATTACCTTGATTGTGCCAATTTCTGTCGTTTCTGTCATTGTTGGGAAGAACTGGAGCACCACCGAATTCTAACTCATCATCACTGTTGTCGTCAAGAACTGGACGTCGGAACGCAGTATTGACGGGTGGTCTGTCGTGGTTGTCTCTTTCGATTGGATGTGGATTCTCCCGGTTCCGTGGAACAACCTCCCGTAACAAGGGTTGCAGTTGTTCATCCATCTCTGCCAACTGCTGTTCGATGTTATGTGTGGTCGTGCGCTGCTCTTCGATTGCTCTCCA